TGAACAATGTTTTGAACAGTTTGTTATGCTATTAAAGAAAGGTTTGAGTCAGTTTTATTAAATCTCTTTGGTAAAAGCTGAGATATAAAGGATTTAATACTTGAAAATTATTTTTCTATGTTGCAGCTGCTGATAGTTGATTTAATAACACTGAAATTTGGCTGATTTATTACAAACGAGTCTTAGCTGAGCTGTTGAAATTATGTTAGCCATGCTGCATCATGCTAAGATATATGTCTTGCATCATTATAGAGTCAAGTTACACGTTTAAGTGGGTAGACATGTAACAGTAGAGCATGCTGAGTTGTGCTGTGCTGTCTGGATTGGCTCGGTTCCTTCTGGATTACTTAGGCTGTGAAACAAATAATGTTGTGCATTAGATGGGCTGGTAATGCATGGGGCTGTTGCTATGAGTAATATTTTGCTCTATGTATACAATTTCATTTTATCTTTTTGTAAGCTCACCCTTGCATTTCTCTCTATGTCATTGTGTGTGTGTATTGCGATGATTGTAGCAGGTGTTGCTTCTACTTCATAGGCTGAGGGGCTAGTGGAGAAATGTTAGAAGTTGGAGTCGAGTAATTTTGCATCAAAGTTATTTTTCCTTATATTTTGAGCTCTCATGTAGAGGGAGCTACGTAGTATAATTTTGTGTATTTTGAATATTATGAACTAAATGTAATATTATGTTGCTATATTGGATATTTGTTGTAAGAAACTTTATTTTATTTTAAATGAGAAGTGAATTTTATACTTATATTCTCTATTATTTATCTATCTTAAATAAGTATATGGTGTAGAAACAATGTTCTTGGTTCCTTATAAAAGGGGTTATGACACCTACATTTACTCCTAACCACAATACACAAATATATATCCACATGTATTTACACACATATACACATCTTTACTCAAGTCAAACATATATCCCAATAACAATCCACATATTTATATTAATCAAAACAATATTACAAAATTTGGGGTGTTACATATTTCAATGACTATTCACACTAGATTCAACCCATATCCAACCCTTATACTTATTTCAAGAATCCCTTCATTCTCCACTCATAAGCTTGTGCTTAGTAAAGCACTTCCGAACTAAGTTCACATCACTTATTCCTTTAGAGTTTAGTTTCACTCAGTAAGTCATTCAGACCACATCATAATTTTTGTAACAACCACAAAATTCTCATATACATATTTCAACATATAGTCTCTGCATTTTGATTTACAAATACCACATTATGCTTCATCATACATTTCATATAAACATATTTCATATAATTATACCATAATCGTTCATCGTATTTCATAACATCTCATATAGATACATTTCATGTGAACACCACATAGCCTTTCATACCAAATAACCAAACATGCATATTCTCAACTATCATTTATACATATCATACTTCAAATACATGTTTTCAAAAAATCCTTATGTAATAGTGCTTCAATGAGCACAAAATAAACTTTTTACTATAATGACAAAATAAAGCTCTCCTTACCTCGAGGTGAGTATGGAGATATATTGATGAAGATTAGAGTTCAACCACAGAAGTTCTCCTCAATACCAAGAGATATCCATGAAGAATGAAAAATACGAGAAACAATAGGAGAAAACAAAGTTTTATCTAGAAAAACATACTTGAAGTCGTTTAGATTTAACGTCCAAGCTCGAATTTAAGGAGTAATCAGAGTTTGAAGGAGTTTTATCTGAGAGAAGGTAGTGAGAGTTCAAAGAAAAAGAGAAGAGAACGTGAGGTTTGGAATGAAATGAAATTTTTATGCTAGAAATCTCTTAAATACCCCTTAGCCCCGCATGGTCTCACTTGAGCGAGGAACAACTTGCTTGAGCGACACAATTCTTGCCTGAGCCAGTTACAACTTGCCTAAGCATTTCCTGATATGCTTGCTTGAGCAAGGTTCAACTTGCCTGAGCGAGATAACATTCAGAGAGTTAGAAATTTTTCCTGAGTCCTTACCTGAGCGATTCAACTCGCCTAGGCGAGATCACTGCTCACTTGAGCGAGATTACCTCTCGCCTGGGTGAGATGATAGTTAGGTTGAATTTATTCTACCTCACTTGAGTGAGAATCATCTCGTCTAAGCGAGATTGCTCTGAAAACATGTGATTTTGGGTGCTCAGCCTCGCTAAAGCAAGATCTATCTCGCTTGAGTGAAACACTCTATACTAGATTTCTATCAAAACACCCTTAAAACATTCCAATACACTCTAATACTATATAATACCAAACAATCATCTATTTATTAACTAAATGAAAAAGTGGGTGTTACATGTGTGGCGAATTACATGTAACAACGTGTGGAGCAATTACATTAACGTTGAAGTGCTATATATATATATATATATATATATATATATATATTGGGAAAACAATACATAAGACATTTCTTTTTTCCTATTATTTATTTTTCTAGGCTACAAAATTGTTTTACTAATTCTTGATAGCATTAGTCTTTAGCCAAAGAGAGTCTGTTATATCTTAGAGGATTTTTGACTTCATTGAAATAATCTTTGAGGATAGTGTTCTACACACCTCAGGTTAATTTTGTGCAACTATTTCAGGTCAATTTATATTTTTTTGTTTATGTAAATATTTATTAATTATTGAATTTTAAATATATATTAACAACTATATTTTTTTAAAAAAATCTATCTACATCTATTTTAAATTAATTAAAAATAATTATTTAAAATTTATATTTATATTTAGCTGTGCGATTGTATGCTGTGGACGTGGTTTCTAAATTTTTTTTTATAGGTACCTTACTCAAATAATTCACACGAATAAAAATAAAACACGTATTAAGTTAACAAAAGTATATATTATTTGTATTATTTACTATATGGTCCTATTATATATATATATATATATATTGTATATTAAATTTTTTATTTTATTTTTCTGTCATTTTTTTATAAAATTTTAATTTTGATAAAATATAATTTATATTTAAATAATTTTTATTTATTATAAAGAAAAAGAATGAAATATAATATATTAATATAATAAGTAAATATTAATAATAATAAAATTAAGAATATAAAAAATATATTAATATAATATTATTATTTTATTTTTAAATTTTATTTCATTCAAATTTGATTGCGTCTTGTTCTTGTTAAAAAACTTAACCACTCTTTAACTTGTTTAAATATAACAAATATGATAATTTATTATTTAAAAAGTGTAATCGTGTATAAATATTTTTAATAGAATATAATTCTTATTTAAATTAATAGCATTCAAATTTGAATAAGACCTATAGTAGGATTAAAAATAAACAAATTTGAATTTAAAGAAAAATTTAATTGAACAATGAATAAAGAAAAATTTTAAAATTATTATTTTTAAATAAAATAATAAGTCAAGAGTTTTGTTCAGTTTTCATGAGGTTATTCTTATATGATTTTAATTAATACTTATTTTTTGTTTTTCAACATTTTATGGTGAACATTTTTACATTTATAATAAATTTTAATTAAATTGAATTCTTAATTAACTTGTTTCCATTTTGAATAACACGTAGCATCAATGTAAACTTTGAATGTACAATTGATTATAATAATTTTTAAAATACAATTTAAAAGTAATTATGAATCAATTATAATTTAAATTTCTAAGTTATGTAAACATAGATAATAATATGTAAAGAATTTGATTTTTTACTTTTATATATAATTAATTTCAATAATTTTATTAATGTAATTTTAGTTAATTTATTATTTTTGTTTTTAATATTGTATAACATAGACAACAATACTTACATTCATCATGATAATTCATGTCACTAACACTTTGTATAATATATTTATATAATATATTTTGTTTTAGTGTTGTGTATAGAATATTTTAATAAACTTTCCTTAAATAAAATTTAGAAGTAATAATTATAAATCATAATTTAAATATTTAAGTTATGTAAAATATTTTAATTAATTTTAGTATTTTTTATTTAATATAATTTATAATTAATTTTTCTTTTATTTTAACATGCACTAACATCTATTCTAATTATTCTTCTCATGTCACTAATATTTTATGTAATATTCTTGTTTCTGACCTTGTAAATTAAGTTTTTACCTTCAATCTTATATGTAAATTTTATGTATTCTAAATTTTACAAATAATAAATTTTATTATAAATATATGTAATATTAAGCTAGTTTAATCAGTTTTATATCGATCACGTGACTTAAAATATTCTAAATTTTAATAATAAAAAAATTATTATAAATTTATATAATATTAAGTAAGTGAATTTAATTTTACGTATTAATATAGAAATAGATGCGATTTTATTGCATTACATAACATCAATGTGGAATACAACCACTTCATCTTTCAATTGAGATTATTACGAACAATTCACAACTATTAATTGTAAGACGATTCTTGAGAAATGAACTGTATATAGTTAATTCGTATTTGAATTGGTTTTAACGTCGACGATAAGTTTGCCCCTACATACCTAAATTTACTTAATTGTAGATCACAATTTAAACCACATAACCTTTTTTGAAAAATAAAATTTAAACATTAAATATTTAGCCTAAATATATAATTTATATAAAAAAATTGTCATTTTTTAATATTTTAGTCCCTTTTTAAATTTTATGCCTGTAATCTTCATAGTTAACAAAAATAGTTTATTCTGTAAATTTAAGGCTTAATATATAAATGAATAAAAATAAAAAATATTCTCGAAAACCAAATACATATAAAATCCTTAAATTTTTAAATAACTATTGTGTATGTGAAAGGTAATTAATTATAGATTTTGTTTATATAACTAGGGCCAAACAAGTAATTTACTTTTAATAACATTTTATTATAACATAAACAAAGCATTAACATCGAGTACACTGATTGCCACATCTGGGGCAGGGGAATCCTTGTGAGGTTCTCCTTTTGTCATTTTATGAGTTTTCAATTTATTAACCATAATTGGAAGGGCTTCCATGCAGAGTCTCATGCTATGACTGATGTCTCCACAGCCAGCTTCCCAGTTCTAGAGCATACAACCTCTGATTTTATATCAGTCTCCCATAGTTCAGGCACTGCCTCCCTAAGGTTGTGGATGCTTTCAATAGCATAATCTGAACCCTTCACTCTTTGGGATCTACCAACCTGAATATGGCAATCAATAAGCATATAGAGCCTCAAATTAGTTCTTAGGGGTTTTAGAATCATTTAAATGCTCCCAATAATAGTTGCTGGAAGCAACTCAGTTTCTCCTACTGAACAAAATTTCCAGTGACACATACCAACACAGTGTGAAGACCCACACGTTTTCCAGCTTGTATGTTGCGAACACTATCGTCAAAGAACAACTGAAAGTGACACATAAAGAACCCTAAATGTAAGCAAACAGAGAACAAAGGCGTTTGATTTAATCATTTAATGTGTGTGTGTGTGTTTATATATATGTCATATCACTGTTAGATCATAAAGTCAAAAAAGGGTGATTTTCTTACGGTTCTTTGTGGGTTAAGGTTGGCTATTTCAAGAGTTAATTCAATGGCATGTTGAGATGGTTTGCACAGAATTGGTGTCTTTGGTAGGACTGCACTGGGATCGGGCTGAGCAAAATGATCTATAATGTCAAAGATTTGAGAGCTTTTTACACAATTACTAGGTGTTGGATTTGTGCTCGCTGAACCCACAAACTCAATGTCATCTTCATCATCAGAAGCAATGCTCTTGTGGATACGATTAAGGGTCTCAAAGCATGTAATTCCTTCAAAGCAGTCTTCCAACTCAAGCCTTTTAAGTGCCTTAACCGCATGGATTTTGTCTGCGTTTGTGAATATCTATTGACAAAATGAAGAAAAGTGTCGAAATTAAATGCATATTAGAAAGGAAGAAAAGCGAGAATAAACTGCTGAGTATTTTAATATTAATCAGACTTGTAATCTTAGTTAAATAAGCTGGAACCATATTATAAAATATAATAGAACATTAATCTATTCTTAAGATATAATTAATTATGATACTATATATAATTTTCATGTATTTTAATATTTTCCCCTTGTTAAAGAATACATAAGCTTTATTTTGATACAATTAACCTTTTAAGGAAAAAGAATACGAAAACATGTAAAATAGCCTCCATAAAACATAGTTGGAAAGAAAACCCAGCTAGATGCTAATAATTGCTAAAGCCAGAGGAAAGGTGAGTATTGGCATATAACTTTGCAAGATGATTGGAATGACCATCAATCTCAGGGACTGGTTGAAATGTTGTAGGATCAAGGGTAGTAATACTTTAAAATATTTTAAGATGTACGTGTATACAAAAATACAATAATATATCAAGATATTTTCTTGATATTTTCTCAAGAACTCGTATATTAGATCAAGATATTTTCAAGCCATTAGTACAAGAAACCATAGAATAGATTACTATCTTTTGTGATCTTATTCTACTGCTTCCATTTATGGTTATCAACTACTTACAAGTTTCCTATAGGGCAGGCTGAGTAACAGATTCCTCAGAACTGGGTCTGGTTTTAAGTTCTCATAAGGTAATCTCCCATGAACGAAACTGTCAACAGAAATTAAAAAATGAATGTCACTATTTCCAAATCAACACGAGGATTGAAAAAAAATCACTCATTAGCTATTTAAAACTGAATGGGTTAGAGAAAGAAGAAGTACCTGTAATATTCATCATAGTCAAAGTCATATCCAATTGCCTAAATAAAAAATTAATGAATCAAAAGACATGCAATAAGTTATTAGTATTGCTTATGAAAAATACCTAAAAGAAAAGTTATTTTTATTTTCAGAATTTAACAGTTAAAAAATAACGAAATCTTATGGAAAGCAAGGAAATCATACCCTTAAACCAGCTATTGTAGTTCCATAGTTATTGTAAAGGAGATTGGTCAAGTCATCAGTTTTACTTGGTTCTACGCCAAGCTTCTCAACCATGTAGTCTAAGATAAATTATACAACTATTTCAATACTAAATGTAACAGCGATTTTAAAGACATTAATGAGAATACTGTGCCACAGTGGCATGCATACCTTTAATATTTTGGAGAATTGCATTTGCAAGACCTGAATTGAGGGGATACAAAGTATCATCTAAATCTGCAGAACAATATCATAGTTATAGCCACATGCACGAATATGAAAATTAATTCAATTCAGTACTAGATAAATGTTCTAGTTACAGGGGTTACCAAAAAGAAGACAATCATATTTTGGTCTTTTGGCCTGTTGTGTGATGCAGTCATCCTTGTCCATTTCCATAAAAAAAACCGAAAACCTTAAGCTTTGCACAGAAAACAAAGTGATTAGTAAGTTTCGATCATGACAACTTGAACCTACCAAAACTTTAATGGCCAAATTTGATTCTCCATCTATAGATGTTCAGGGCTCTTGCATATAGAATAAATGCTATTATTCAGACAGATTTGCACCGAAGGAGGCATAAGGATGCCTAATGGAAAACAGTCAGAGCCCAATACAAACCATTTACAATGGATTGAATAAATAACAAATAGATAAAATGAAAATTTCCCCCAATAAGCATTTAAAGAATGAAAAATTGCTTTTTGGACCCCAAAGAAAGAAGGACTTGTAGGAAAAGACAGTTTTGATGGTAAATTTCTTAAAAAAGTTCTTTAGAAAAAAATAAAACAGTATAAAAATAAAAAATTGTATGCTTCTTTTGAGAAGTTTTGAAAAACAAAATTCTTTTAACTTATCTGAAATTTGAGGTGATATAAATTTTTTTTAAGTAAAATTTTATAAAATTTCTTATGAGAAAAAAATAATATAAAAATTAAATAAAATTTTTTCTCATAAGTTAGAAGCAACTTATCTCTTTAACTTTCAAAAATATTAAATGAGAGAATTTAAAAAAAATAGAAAGACATAAATTATTTATAACTTGTACAAAAAAATTATTTATTTTTTATATTAATCATTTTCTCCTATAAAAACTTTTCTGAAAGTTTACCTATATACAACAACTTAAACTCATTAATATAAGTCTTGAACAGAGTTCATGTGATAGGTTTCTGAAATGCACTTTCAAAAGTATTGAATGGCTCATGCTAAGTCAGAAAACTTTCAGGATTAAACTTGAAAATATGAAACGGGTTATTTAATAAAAAAATAACATTTTATAGCAAGGCAGGTTTTGGAAACTTATGATAACAAGAGAAGCAAAGTTTTACAATGTCTAGAACCACTAAATAAACATGGCGAAATTTCTAAATAACAAGAGTAATGCTATTTGCTCTGAAGTCCAAACATTTGTTCCCATCCCAGTGAATTTTGAGAATTCCAATGAAAGGTCTCAAATCCATACTCATTATTTATACTCAGATTATGTCAATTATGTTTCAACGATCGTGTAACCATCGTTGACTAAAAATCCAAAGGAGAAGCATCAAGGGCAATAACTGGAAAATGAAACAGAAAAAATTAAAAAGGAGAATGAAAGAACAAGAGTCACGCATAGTAAACCACACGTTAATGCAACAGAAAGGACAAGAAAGTAATTTGCATGCAAAGAGAAATCATCATAAGATGAACTCGACAAACTTTATGGCTATCAATCTCGGATAACTCGAACTGAAAAATGAAAACTGTTTTACTGTCTTAAAATGCTGAAGTGTCCCTCATTCTCTAATTAAGGCTTATAATTTTGCAATAGGAACCAACCTTCCCCTCTTGCTAGCTTCACTTTTGCATGTAAAACCTTAAAATATTCTCTCTTCTCTCTCACAATTTCATTGATTTCAGCAGAAGTGATATGTGAAACTATTGTGTTGATGGTAACCTAATTAAATAGGCACCGGGTTCACGAGGAAGGAATGGGGCAAGCCTCTGTTTCATGCATGCAAACATGCATTGGTTGCATGGAAATACATCAAGACACGTAATGTGTTGACCTTCGGTTACACTTCAAGGTATATGCCACCTCCTAATATTCATGCATGTTGTTCTCTTTCGTTTCTACCTTTCCTTGAAAGTCGAAATTGAGCTTCCCAACCTCAAGTCTCGTAATAATAAAAGATAATAATGATATAGGAAAAGAAAGATAAACTAGATTAGGGAGTCAGCCACTTTAGGCTCTAGTTATTTTTCAATAATTTTTATATTTTAAATTTTTTTATTAATTTAAATTATCATATTATAATTTTATTGTTGTATCTTTAATTAATTTATTAATAAAATTGTATAATTTGAAAACTTATTTTTTAATCATTATTACCAGAATTTTATATTAACAATAAATTTTATAATTCCTTAATTATAAAATTATACTTGATAAATTTATGGTTAAATATTAAAATTGATAATTTACATTATATTATTTCTTCTAAATATTTTGTTCAAGGTATTCAAAATTCTAGGCATAGCATAGAGAGAAAGATAAGAGTAAAAATAAATAAAAAAATAATTATATATTATTTTATTTGAATAAAAATGTTTATACGAGTTAATAAGAATTGATAAAAAAAAACTATGATTATATAATATTTACTGAATATTATATATTTTATCAAAAAGAACAAGAAAATCATAAATAATGAAATGAAATATGATCATGACAATCATTTGTATGGTTTACAACAAACAATAATATATTATGGTAAATAAATTAACGCAGAAAGAATTATATATATATATATATATATATACTATTCATTTAACGGTTATTTTATGTAAGCTAATCATTTAAAAGATAAATTTTATTTGATTTAAAACTTAAGTATGGTATCTAAAATATTTCTTGTGCTATTTTGTGCAAGGTTAGAGTTTAAATTTATTTATTTAAATTATAAATGAAATATTAGTATTTTTTTAATATACTCTTTAATAAATATGTATATATATTATTTTTAATTTAAATGATTTTTAATTATATTTTATATTTTTAATAAATTTTAATTAAAAATAAGAGTGTGTTAAAAATAAAGTACATTAAAATATTCATTAATATCTAGGTTCACATTCCCAGTATATAAGTGATCTGTCTCGGACAGAGGAAACTTCTTGCAGTTGCACAGTATCATCGATTGGACTCAAATTGGCAAAGAAAGGCCATACATAACAACGAGCCATGCCTTCCCAAAATATGTTCATTGTTACATATGAGATTCTTTATTACAATGTATCCTTTGTCCACTCGTCTAAACTATATATATGTATTTGGAATATTGTAATTTGAATAATTAAAACAAATCTATAAACATAATATAAATTAATTAATATTTTTTATAAAATTTATTATCTTTAAATACTTAAAATCAGTTTTAGTGATTGATGTAAACAAAGTTATGAAATAAAATCTATCAAACACAGTATTTAAAAAATATTTAAAATATCGAAATAAAAATCCTTTATCTTACCTGACAAAATATAACTAATATATATATTGTATTCTTTTATTATGATCCTGTACTAATTTTTTATCAAATATTATTGATAATGATGTTATTTTATATATAATAAATTCATGGTCATGTATAATAATAAAAAAATTTATTAATAAGTAATTATAAATAAATTATAATTTTTTATAACTTATAATAGAATAAATATAATAAAATTATATATATTGATCAAGCACAAGTAAATCTTAAAGGACTAAAGATTTAATTGGATTTTAATAATTAACGAATACTTTAATTTAACATAAATTTTATATTATTTTTAACAGATTTGTTCAAATTATGCGAGACCGTGTAGAGAAAGGTTGAAAATTAAATTTTTTATTTAAAATATTTTAGAGATTATGTAGAATATGTTTTTAATTTGATAAAATAAACAATAAAATGAACTATATTAGATGTATAACCAGAGTAAATTGAAATTAAAGTCTTATTTAATTTAATTTATAATTGAAATTAATAAAATTTTAATTGGATTAAAAATTAATTTAAAATTTGTTAAAGGGTTTGGCGAGAGTTTTATAAGTTAGAAAACTTTAAAAATAAAATTTAGTTAAAAAATAAGATTAGCTAAATTTTAATTGACCAAATGATTTATATGACAAATTCTATAAGTTCTTTGTAGGAAGAGATTTTGAACTAAATCACTATTTTTAGCCTTTCCAAATTATTTTAAAAACTTAATTTAACTGGTAGAACAAAATAGTAAAAAAATTGATCAAAATTTATTTATTTTTGTTAAATTTTAAAATATAAAATTAAAATATTACCAACTAAAACTTATAAATCATAAAACAAACATTTAAATATATAAATAGTAATATCGATGTGCTTAAATTCAGTCAAATAAATAAAAAATTTAACTAAACGCTTAAAAGAGAATAACACCACACTTTGAACTTAAATTTTGTATATCACTTTAAGCTCATGTAAAACTTAGAACAGAACATTAAATTAAATTTAGATTTGACTAAAAAAAATTATGGTAAAGATACATACCAATAAGGGAGGCAAGAATCCAAAGAGAGAAAAGAGAAGAAAACCTCAAGAGAACAAGAATATCACGAGAAAATAAAGGTGGGAGATGAGTTCTCTTTCATGAGATAATATTTAGGTTTGCTTGATTTATAATCTCTTAATTAAAGAATAATATATATTTAGGATTTAGAAATCTTAAACTTCAAGGGCAAGATTTTATATGCTAAATAGATGCATACATATGATTCTTTGTGCATAAATTTTATGTAGATGTTATGCTTAAAACTTGTATTATAGTTACCATAGATGTGGGATAGAGGTATTACCATGGAGATTTAAATTTTCCGATAAAGTTTCTAAATTAAAGGAAAAATAATAAATCAAAAGTACATAATATTTTTTGAATTTAATTGATATTTTGGTTTAAAATTTTGAATGCTAAATTCATGGAATTAATTTCAGAAAATATTAAGACCTCAGAGTAGTTTGGAACACAAAAATATTATGGAAGAATGAAGAAGTATTACAAAACTAAGGAAAATTTAAGGTACTATCAATCAATCAGAAGTCTACTTTAGAAGTATACTTTCCTAGACACTACATGTTGTTCAATAAAGTGGAAACAAAAATTTATGTCATAACTATTCACTCAATACATATGCATACATGTAAGTTTAAACAATAAATAACTCTACCGGTTAGCATGAAAATTTTCTATCTAAAACAGAATGTAAACTATAATTAAATTAACTAACTTTCAATATTACAAGATACTTTGAATTATTTGTTATAGCAAAATTTTAACTAAGTGTCATAAATTCAAAAATTGACATAAAAATATTTACATACTCTCGTTAA